AAAAGGTTCCATAATTTTGCGAAAGTCAGCAGAAAAAGGAACAACAAGTGAACCAAGTGCGAGACTCAGTGCAACAGTGCCCTATTTTCCGTTGCTGTTTCTTTCAGGAGCCATAAAGGCTTTATGGAAATGGCAATTGTTATTGCTATCCATCAGGAGGAATCAGGCATGGATCCGACAGATGTTCGGATCAAGAAGAATGGAAATATCTTCTTCAGTTGGCATCGAGTGCCATTCGTTAACGGATGATCCGTTGGGCCTGAAATTTTGGCGGTATTCTTTGGTGAGTGTTGTTAACTTATATTAATTTTTTCAAATTTTTCGGTCGTTAATTTTAACGATTTTTGTCTCGAACGACGCAGCGTCGTAACCACTTCCTGTCGAACGAAATTGTTGGAAGTTGATGGGTCTCCTGGAGCTGGTGGCCTCAAACATTGTTTTGCGAATCGTTCGTTTGGCTAGTGACTTCGTGCTGTTGGGGATCTTCAACTTCATCAAGAAGAAAATTCAGCAAGTGAAAAGTGAGTGCCAAAAAAAAATTTTCTTTTCAGAAATAACAATTTTTTGAAATTTTCACAGATGGCATTCCTGAGGCTTCTGGTGTTGCTGGTCGTCGGTGTTGCGACTGCTGGGGCGGACTGCGGTCCCAAAGACGGGGCGTTTGTGTGTCGGGACGTCTGCGGCGAGGAGGTGAGGGGCGCCGGCGGCTACGGGCACCGCGTGACGTTCGTCGGGGCAATGCTGTTCTTGGACTGCGTCAGGCAGGCGGACCTCAAGGTGAGTGTCGAGTGAAGAAATGGAACAAGTGACATGTATGACAGCCAGTCTTGTTTGTAGGAGGTGAAGCTGCTGTTGCCGACGGTCTGCGTTGGGTGTCAGGCCGACATGGATTGTGTCGTGACGCCTTGGAGGTGGTGCGAGGAAGTCGTGCCACCCGAGCCGGAGGTCTTGACGGCGGCAGTTCTGCCGGTGGTTGGTGAGTTTGCTTTATCAGCTTTTCCACGCAAGCATAAACATTACAAAAACAATACTCACAACACATATCTCATTCCATATAGCATCATAACACATAGCCAACACCTTACACTATACAAAAAAATAGTTTTCCTTCACCAGATATTAATAAAAATTTTGTATGTACAGATGAGCCTCGCCCAGTGGCGCTGACGGCCAACCTGGCGGTCGTCCACGTGCCGGCGAGCAAAACGCCTTTTGTGGTTCGGGCGCTGCCCTCAACGCAGCAAAGCGTTGTGGTGGCCCAAGAGGTGCCACATGTCATCAAGGCACCGTCGTCAATGCCGGAGGTGACGGTCAACATCAAACATGGTGTTGCACACGTCAAGGCAGACGTGGACCCTTGGACAGCCATGGTCCTGGTTTTTATGGGCCTTGGTGGGGCTGGAGCCACATCTTTGGCTGTCTTTTTGGTTTGGCTTGTCAAGTTCATCAGGAACAAGGTTAGCCAGTTTTTTCTTTGTTTTAATAAAAATGATTAACAATGCTTTTGCTTCCATGCTTGCTTTGCTTTTTTGTGCATGCCTTTCAAACATAGAGAAAGAAAAGAATTCTAAAATTAGATAAAGCTAAAGTTAAAGAATGCATAGTAGGATCTATGCCAAACAT